CATAGTTAAACACGATGGAGGATAGAGTATGCCTAAAGCACAGAATTCGAGAACAAAGGTGGCACTTAACAAAGCTGAAGGAGTAGGCAAGGGCCAGATCTTGTGAATGCTTATAATTTTTTAAGTACCTAAATTTCTCAAGAGCATTATCTTCTCTTTCCTGTCAAAGCAATGTCACAGGTCAAGGCCACAAACCAACAACATCAGAAATCTTATCAATCTTTCAAATTCCAATCTCACATCTTCCATAGATCTTTCTCCACTATTCTACACTCCTCTCTTTTCTGGTACTTTTTCTGTTCACCATCCACTGAACAAATTACTTTCTCACTGCCCTTGCTGGTCCCTGTGCAGAGGTGGGTTCTGAATGCACTGACAACAGGCATCCTGACCCAAGGACAGCCCATCTACAGGCTGCCAGCCACCCACAAAGAGGCTCACTTGCAGAGCTCTGAGATAAGGGTTATTCAGCTGAACCAGTACAACCATTCTCATTTAAATCTAGACTGGAGAAGACCTTAAAGATCAGAAGATGAAAGGAGAATGGATAGACCAGGAGAAACAGGAAGAACAGCTGGCCCCAAAAGCTGGCACTCACTCTTGCAGTAAACCCTGTCTATCACCAAGGCGGCCTGCCACCCACACAATCCCTCTGCTGTTGCATTGCCTTGTATTTTTCTGTCCCTCCTCTGTCATTCATCTTTTTGTTGCTTTTGTTGCTATAAGGTGCATGAGTTCACCAGAGAGAGACAAAGAGAAAGCAAGAAATCGATCTCCAGCGAATAGTGGGGCCACTGGCCTCAGTGGCTTGCAAACACACCAGGAGTGTATGTAAGCATGCCCAAAATCCCAAGAGGATGATGAAAGTAAAGGGCTTGTCACTCTGTGGCAAGTGTATACTCCCTCTAGCAAACAATACAAATAAATATAATAAAATAAATAAAGTGGTTATCAATGCCAGGCAAAAAAACATTTTTTTTAAAAAAAGAGGTTGAAGAATAGCTAGTAAGATACCAGTATGATAGCCCAGTGTTTACACTGTGAGAGACCCTTGATGATCAGCCCCTCCCTCAGTGTGAAATAGTGCCCTATGTTAGATTCCTGTTGTGGTTATTACTGCACTAAATTAGAAATGTATAAAAATAAGAAAATAAGGGGACCAGCAGTTAGCATAATGGCTATGTCACTGGACTCCCACGCAGTCGACCACGGTTCGCGTCACAGACCCAGTGGCTTAAAACTCACACCGGACAAGTGTGCGTGCGTGCTCAAGATCCCGAGAGGAGAATGGAGGAAAAGGGATTGCGGCGTGGCCATCCCCCCTGGGGGGTGATTTCTCACTTCCTATCTCTCTGTCTCTCTCTGTCTTTCTGGCAAGTGTACGTGCCCTATATCAAAAACCTCTCAGAAAGAAAGAAAGAAAGAAAGAAAGAAAGAAAGAAAGAAAGAAAGAAAGAAAGAAAGAAAGAAAAGAAAAGAAAAGAAAAGAAAAGAAAAGAAAAGAAAAGAAGATCTCAGATGCAAAACCTACTAATATGTTTTTAATGGTTACACATTACATTATTCTCTAAAAGCATGAACCTTTTTTTAATGTTACTTCCAATATCCATCTCACATTCGGTAGGGCTTCTGCTACCCTAATAAGAGCAAGAAATAGGGACCAGCAGGTGGCATGGTGGTTAAGGCGCTAGACACTCCCACATGACCAACCACCGTTTGAGTCCTAGCCCTCGTGGCTTGCTTTCTCACTTTCTTCCTCCCTCTTTCTATCTCTCTCTCTCTCCGCGTGTGTGTGAGTCTCTCTCTCTCTCTGGTCAAATTAAAATTAAAATGAATTTAAAAAATTAAATAAATAATTCTAAAAAAAAAAAAAAGAGCAAGAGATAAAGAGATAGACAACCCCAGCAGGGTCTTCATGTTGCAATCCACTCCTGTTCAGTTAGCCATGGATTTGGGACACACACATGCCCAGTGTACTCACAAAGTTCTTTTGATTTGTTTTTATTTTTAATTATAGTAAAAATCCATACATAGAACAAGAGGGAGTAGAAGGTAATGGAGTAGTGAAATGTGACAGTCTGCAAGACAGAACCACAGAGAGAGGTTCCAGATTCACATCTGCAAAATTCTGAGTACACCAGGTACACATGTGGTCATGGTCCAGGACTAACTGAAGCTGGTAGGGGGTAGTTGTGGTGTCAGGACCCTGTGGATTACTGTCTGTATATGTGTGTGCCTACCTCATTCGTGGAAGAAGTAAGTAAAAACTTTTTTAAAATACAAGAACATAAAATTTACCCTCCCCCCCTCCTTTTTTTTTTTTTTTTGCCATAGGGTCCATGTACTTGCTGGAGAGAGAGACAGAGACAGAGGAAGGGAAAGTCAGAACTCACCTCCTGGAGGGTGGTAATGCTGCAATCCTTTCTCCTCCATTCTCATCTCAGGATTTTGGACTCAGACACAAAAGCGCCAGGTATGGTTTTCAAGCCACCGAGTCCGAGACTCAAACTGCAGTTGACCATGTGGGAGTCCAGAGCCTTAACCACCACACCAAATACTGCCCCCCACATCTTAACCATTTTTTAAGTGTGGCGTTCAGTAGTGTTGAGTACATTCACGTGGTTATGCAAAAAATTCCCAGAACGTTTTTAATCTTGCAAAACAGATACCTCTATACCATTAAGCAACTACCTCCTCCTCCCCAGCGCTGGCAACCATCATCCCACTTTTTGTCTCCATGATTTTGACTATTCTAATTGTCTTGGATAAGAGGCATCACAGTGTATTTGTCCTCTTGTCACCTCGTAATGTCACTCAGAAAAAAATCCTCAAAGTTCATCTTTGCTGTAGCATGTGTCAGAATATGTCAGAAGATACTTTCTTCTTAAAGTGGTGAAACCCCATTACATTTTATTATTATTATTATTGCCAGAGGGCACATGTGCTCATCAAATAGAGAGAGAAAGCATCCCCCAGTGAGGTGTGGTCACGCCATAATCCTTTTCCTCCATTCCTCCTTCCCATCAGGATCTTGGGCACACACAGACACATGTACTCAGCATGCTCTTCCAGCCACCTGATGGAATTCAAGCTATGGCTGACCATGTGCAGTTCTAAAATGCACCGTACTCAACACTGCACTACAGGGCAACACCCCCTGAACCATTACTTTTAAACAAAGCAAATGCAAGAACATAATTCTAAAGAAATAATTAAGAATGGTAAATATCTTATTGTTTCAAAAACTAAGCTAAGTTTTTCCTCTGGGGTGCTCCTTTCTGGAGGGCCTAGAAATGGAATCACGATTCTAAGATAAGACAAAATCATCTATTTCCATTTATTTGCTGAGGCTCCTCTTCCCCATAACAGATGTTTTTCTAGAGGACTGTTATTTATCAGGTTGAAACCATATAAAATTACTGGCATTTGGCACTTTTGATATATACAAATGGCAATTTCATATTTCTAACCAAATAACATTTTTCTTTTAAACTGATCTGAGAGAGAATGCTTTAAAACTGAGTAAGGGTTTATTATGTCTTACATCTACTCTGGGCCCAGACTCAAGGTACTTCTACCATGATGGTGAGGTCATGGGGAAACAGGGTCAAGTAGGGTACTTAGACTCTGCCAGAGACCTGAGGTCAAATCTTGCTTCTTTCACCTTCCAGCTGCAAACATCTCGGCAAGTCATGAAACTTCCCCAAGCTTCATTTTCCACTTCTAGAAGTTGAGTTTAATAAAACCTGTTTTTCAGAACTACTATGGTAATGCAAGTAAAAGCAGGGCACTTTTATCTTGTCTTTGGACTTATGCCAATAAACAATTATTCTTTCTAATACAGAGGTTCTCTGTCGAGCAGTGAGAATGTGACACTCTGCAAGACAGAACCACATTTGGCAAAGTCTGAGACATGGTTAGTGTTCACAATTTAGAGGAAGAAGAAGCTGCTGCTGGCAACTAGTAGGGAGAGGCCAAAGACACTGCCAAGTATCCTACAGGATGGGGCTCACCCAAAGAATTTTTTTCCAAACTGTCAATAGTGAGAAGCCCTGTTCTAAGAAAACATTTTTAAAGCTCTTATTCATTCATTTATACATATTTTTAAATTCCAAAGCACAATGGGACACTTTCAATCAATTTTCAAGTGTCTCATAGTGATACCCAGGAGGAAATCTGAGGCACAGAGAGCCAGAAGGCATGCTAACACCCCTGCCCTGTTAGAGCTCAGAGCTACATGAGTTGGCAGCAAATAAAGAGAGTAGAGGGAGGAGCTGGAGAGAAAGAGGGATGAGAGGTTGCTGTAGCTGTTTAAAGTCACTACTTCTTAAAACATAGATAAAGGGGCCAGCATGTAGTCTAGTGGCTAAGGTGCTCGACTACCAAGTGGCCAAATGCAGTTTGAGTCCCAAACCTGGCAGCTTGAAACTCATGCCAGGTGTATGTGCGTGTGTGCCCAAAATCTCAAAAGGAGAATGAAGAAGGGACTGACTGCAGTATGGCCATCTCCTGTGGGCAGTGATTTCTCAATTTCTGTCTCTCTCTGTCTCTCTGGCAAGCACACACACCCTATAGCAAAAGAAATCTCTCAATAAATAAATAAATAAATAAATAAATAAATAAATAAATAGGGTAAGTTAGTACAATCACTCCTCAGCAATCATTATCCCAAAACATAAAACATGCCAAATAATAACTGTATTCATTACTTAGTTTTAAAATAGTCAATATATGCAACAAATAAGATGTTTATCTATTTAATCAGCTTTATACTAAAAATGCCAAAATTTAAATTTTCAAATAGTCTATCAGAGAGAAAAAATATTAAAACTGATATGTTATAATGAAGGTCAACCAACTGATAAACATAGTAAGTTAAAAATAAATCATATTCACATTAATTCTTTTCTACCCATTGAATAAATAACTTTGGACATATTTTACCCATCTAATCCATTTAAGTGATTTTAACATTTCCCCCAAAATGTATGTATACTCACATTCACTTGAACTTGAATGGACCAGTCACCAAGAATTGGATGGGAAGATAATTGAAAAGTCCGGGAAACAACTCCAAGATCATTTTGTTGTGACAACCACTGTTGGATCAAATTTGACTTGGGGTCCTAAAGTGAAAAACATACACGTTAACCACATAAAGGCCGTTCGTACACGCACATGTGCTGTCATTCCGGTTAGCAGCGATGCTTCACAGCACTCCCAAGCACAGTGAGAACCTTCCTCCAAATATGACACAAAGATAATTTTTGGAAGATGTCAATTCCATACTACTATAAAGAAAAACCTGGGGTTTTTTCTTTTATTCTATTTCTCCCAAGATCATCTTCACTCTGCTCTAGCTCCTCATTCCTGGCACTGTATTTCCTTCTACCTCGAACACCACATGCACAAAACTAAGCTTGTAGAGGTGGTGATAGTGCTAGTATTAATCTCCACTGTGGAAAGGCAGCTGGTAGTGTAGTGGCTGAGGCACTGGACTGACCACAGTTCAAGTCCCAGACCTCACGGCCTGGAAATCATTCCGGTGCATGTGTGTGCATGCCCAAAATCCCAACAGGACAATGGAGGAGAAGGGATTGTGGCATGGCCATCCCCCCCCCGAGGGTGATTTCTCACTTCCCCTTGCTTTGTCTCTTTCCGCAAGTGCACACCCCTTTAGCAAAATCTGGGGGGAAATTCTGCTACAGAGATAATGGCCTCATTTACTAAAAGCCCACTATGTTTCAAATACTCTGCCTTATTTCTAATTATTATAATCCTCCTTGGGGTAGGATTACCACTTTACAGTTAAGAGAACTGATGCTTAGAAAGGTTAGCAAACATTCAACAGTAAGTGGCATGGCCCAGTAGTACAGCATCAAGATGTGATAGAATTCAGCACTCAAACCCATGTCTGTCTTTCAACTCAACAAAAATATATCAGAAACATCTTTGACCAAGAGGACAACTGAAAAACACTTCAATCTTCCATGATCATTGCTAGTCTCCCAAGCAATGATCCTTTAAGACAATATCCTTCTGAGCCAATTCTAGCAGCCACCCCAGGTAACTCTCTCATAGCCCCTGCTCCGTCAATGCTGTCTCATTAAAATCTCTCAAATTTGCCTCCTCCTTACATTCCTCACATCCAACCACTATGACCTGCTTTCAAACTGATGCAATTTATCTTTCCCCTCCATTCTTGCCCTCTGAGAACATCTTCCCCGCTGCTAGCAGTGTGACCCACCTGAAATACAAATCTGAGAAGGCGGCACAGTGGCAGAATCGCTTAGCATAGCTCGGAGCTTATTACAAGCAGTGAATGTGCACTGACCACTACACTGCACTACTATGTAATGATGGCTTCTGCTTGCCTTTAGAACGTCTATGATGCTTTGTATAGCTTACAAGGCCCTTCATAATATGACCTCCTCCACATTTCTAGCTGCTTCTTCCTCCAAACACATAGATTTGCTTGCAGTTCATCCCAAGTCCCATGCATGTAGTCCTCTGAAATCGCCTCATGAAATGCACTCCCTGCCTTGTCCACTGGTGAAAAAGCGCCAGCTTCTGCCTTCTGTACATGCCTCCCACAGGCGCAAGTAACCACTTGTGGGGAAACCTTAGAACACCTGGAGTTTATCTTTCTTCAGTACTTGTGAGGGACTTCAAAAGTTCATGGAAAATGATATTAAAGTATGAGTTTATTCTGGTACAGAAACTTTTAAGGCCACAGTTTCTTCACGATATACATTTTCCACAAACTTTCTGAAGACTCCTTGTATAATGCTGAAGGCATTAAAATGTTTCTTTTACATTTTTTACTTTACAAGAAATGTATATTTTTTTATTTACAACTAGACTGAGAACTCCTGTGAACAAGGATCAGATATTCTCCCCTGATCTTATTCTCCATCCTTTGAGTAGAAGCAATAAGTTGTCTAGTTTTTAAAAGTCAAAAAAACCCCTCCCACAGTAGGGATATAAAAGTTAGGGATAACCACAACACTGAGACACGAGTAGGGAGTATTCTAGTAAGCCAGAAACTAATTGTTAAAATAAAAAACCAGAAGCAAGTCAGGAACACAGTATCCTTGGCAGATCCTGGGTCAGGCATTGTAAGAGCAGTCGGCCCCATTGTGCCTGCCACAGCATGAGGCTCTGCCACAGATCTTACAGGCTCTGGAATGAGGGGAGCAACACAATGGCAAATAAATATATGCCATCTAGCAATTCAGGTGTGCAAATGAAAACAACGGAATACCATTTTTCTTCTGTCAGACTGACAAAGATTAAAAGCATAATGGCAACAATAACTCGGTGGAACCTGAAGCGCAGGAAGGGAATGTCCACACTCTGCGGACATGCTGTTGTGGGGAAGGTGTACGTTTCTCCCAGACAGTGTCATGGCCCTTTAAAAGAAGGAAGTTCAAACTGATGTCTTGATAACTTTGTATGTGAGGGATTGGGAGGCTTAGGAGTGAACTGAGATAATCTCTCTGATTTCCAAGCCCATCTTGGACCTAGGCCTAACTATCAATAACATGAAAGACACAGAGAACGTAGAAACAAACACCAGGAGTCTTTGCCGAGTACATCAGGGTTTGAGCAGGCCATGTGTGGTGGCCGCTCTGCTGAGCCCAGCATTTACATGTGGTCATCTCCTGCTGGGACAGCCATCTACAATGTAAGCAATGCTCCTTTTATAGTCAGAACAGCTGTAGGCCAGGGACGTGGAATGCACCCCCCCCCATGCCCTTTAACACTTCTGGATGGCTATCAGGTGCCTCAGCACAGTACCTGTTACCTGTGACAGACTGCCTCAAGCACTGAATTCCTTGGCAGGAGGATGTGTCTGTGAAGACTATTTCCTGAGTCCTGGATTGTGTACGGGATACATGTCTGTCCAGCCTGTACACTAGAGAAGGCCAATAACTCAGGTATGGCAGAAACCCCTCCCCTGCAGGGCTGCAGGGCTGCAGTTCTGAGTTTACCACTGCTGATCTAAGCCAGAGTGTTGGGGCACAGTCACAGATATACCCTAAGTCAGTAATAGCTGTTTTCACAGAAGGTTGTTCACCTGTACCAGGAGTAACAACTTCTCAGAGAAGACAAGTCATGCGGGAAACCAGCCAGGCCAGCTGCCTTCACTGTCAGAGGCATTTATTTCCATAGAGTTAGGCCAAACTGGCTGGTGGAGTCCAGAATTAGGGTGGAGATGGTGTTTCTACATGATCTACCATGGCTAAAAGGCCGATGGAGCCCCTTTCCTTCTGGGGTAAGTTACTGGGACGAGCAAAATGAATAATATCCAGTGATTTCTAAAAAAAAAAAAAAACCGCCAAACTTCCCCTAGATATGCTCTGAGATCAGTATTCTTAACTACATCCTGCAGCTATTCTCAGCTGGGCGAGATGGATCCCCAAAAATTGGCCTCAAAGCTCTTGGATGCACTTCTTCACATTAGCCTGCAGGTGGTGCTGCACAAGGGAACACAGCTTTGTGCCAGTAGGGGCTCTAGCTATGCTATGTCCCACTTTTTTCTGGGAGGTTTTGCCAAGAAAACAATTATTCCAATTATTCGCAAAAGATGTAAAAAACATCACAGTCCAGTGAACCCTGGGCAAATGACCATTTGTGCCTGGAGCAATACAATGGTGTGGGCATTCCCATCCATGCTCTGACCCTACCTCGGCAAGTTACCAGGAAAGAGGCAGCCAGACCTGAGTCCACTGCCCAGATACAGAGAGGGGGGCATATGGCCACCTGCCATTCACTGATGCAAAACACTTTGGGTTCCAGGAGCAATTTTAGTCTCCCCTCTAAATCCCTTTCCCCTGGCCAAAAGGGCTACACAGCCAGGCCAGCAGGATTCCTCGGTACCAGAGCTAATAAGAAGTAGGTCTCTCTGAGCCCTTCTGAAAAGCTGAATGTGGCGAGGTAACTCCAAATTGGACAAAAGAGTCAGAAGAATCTAAAACTGAACAGTTTCAAAGGCAGATACTAGAGCAGAGTAGAGAGGCAGAGCCACAAAAAGGCATTGACTTGCCCTCCAGAATCAGCAGGATTAGTTCTGCATTAGCGCCATTTGCCTGAGGTACAAGGAAAGACTGACTAAACAGCCAGAAATAGCAGGCATTTACTGTTAAATCACCTACATAATACACAGTTTTGGGCATCTGGTACATTTTCAATATATGAGCAGTAACTGACAAGGGACAGTATGAATAGTCAGTTCAAATCTGCTCAGCATCATGGTAATTTAGAAATGCTATTTATTGCATCAACCTGCTATATAGACTTTGCATTACAGAGCAAAGGCAGGCATTCTTGGAGCTGTCAATTCTGAAATAATACTAGCTCAATTCAAGAAAACAGGCCAAACAAGGCAGTATCTGCCACAGATACATAAAAGTTATATGTATACATGTTTGTCTGATTGATTTTTGTTGCTGTTGTTGTTTTAATTTATAACAACAAAGAAACTAAGAAGACACTGAACTAAAAAATCTAAATTTACCTTCCACCCTATGTTATGCATTAGAACATGTAGAGCGACCAATGACCTAGCACTTAGGGGGTTCCCAGGACAACCGGCTTTCAGTTTTAAAATCAGGAGCATCTCGAGCAAACTGGAATGAATTAGTCATCTTATTTCTGTGTAATAATCAAATGTCTAGTATTCTCAGCTTGATTGTAGAAAATCCAAACCAGCTGGACCTCAACTGTCTTCAACTGGATTCTCACAGGAAAGCACTCAGTCTGCTAACCATGCTGCCTCCAGATCACTGGAGTGTTTCAGCAGCAAAGGCCAAATGACTACCTATCAGAGGGGTTCCTATAATAATAACAGTAATAATGGCTAATGTTTAGTGAGCATGCACTATATGCCACACACGGTTATAAAAGGTTTGTTTGAATCATTTAATTCTCACAAACATGTTGTGAAATACTAACACACATTTCACAGATAAGAAAATGGAGGCTCAGAAAAATCACACAGCTACCATCTGTTCTTAGAGCTGACAATGAATTTTAAAATGGTAAGTCAAATTATTATCATGCTTCTCTTCATCAATGTAAAACCAAAGTCCAAATCATGGACAAGACCCTGTACCACCTCAACCCTCAACTGACACACTTGCATCCAACCTCGTGTCCTAATACTTATCCCCTCACTCCTGGACTCCAGTATACCGCAGCTTGTTGTTCCTCCACTGAGCCAAACTGACTCCCTCCTACTCAGGGGCCTTTGCTCCCTCTGGGTGTGCTCATTCTTTCATTGCTTTTAAGTATCTTCTCAAACAGGTCTTCTCTGACAGCATTATAGAAAATAGCAAACACACACACACACTTCCCCCCTGCACACGCACACACACACACACACCTGTACCTTTATATATTTGTGTGTTTACTTGTCTGTCTTCTCACTATCGACTGAGTAAAATAAATCAATGTGAGAAGGTATACAAGCTGTTCTGTACACTGCCCCACCTCGGTCCCTCGAGCAGTGAAGGACAATAAACATCTGATGAACCAATAAATCAGTGAAGAAGCCAGAACTGGAACTCAAGCAGGCCAACTTCAGAGCCTGAGTTCTTTTATTTGGAGAGGTTTTGCTATAGGGCGCATGCGCTCACCAGAAAGACAGGGAGAGACAGAGAGATAGAAAGCGAGAAATCACCCCCCCAGGGGGGATGGTCACGCTGCAATCCCTTCTCCATTCTCCTCTCAGGATCTTGGGCACGCACATGCACCCGGCGTGAGTGTAAGCCACTGGGCCCAAGACTCGGACCACAGTCAGCTACACGGGAGTTCAGCAACATAGCCATTGTGCTAACTGCTGGTCCCGGAGCCTGAGTTCTTAACCCAGGGCTTTTCCACCTCCCTTCCTAGAAGAGGATTCCCATGTTGAGAGAAAAGCTTATCAGGTTAATTCTAAGATCTCCCAGTGTCAGTATCACAAACAGAGCGTCCAAGAGAGCTTTAGTAAGACGGCATAAACTCCTTACCTTAATTAGGATGTTTAAAGAGGTTTTGTAAGGCTTGAAATCTGAGAAGAGTGTAACAACACGGAACTTCACTTCTTGCTTTGGCTTGTACAGAGCCTTGTCTGTTTGTATGAAGACAGACATCCTCTTGGTCTCGAATGATAAGCGCGTACTATTAGAGAATAAAATCTCATCCTGGGCACGGCCTGTCACATGTAACTCATACATTTCATCTGCACTGTTCATGGGGAGCTGGGGAGAAATGAGACATTTCAAAGACTCATTATTTCACCTCGAAAATGTTTTAATCACAAGTTAGAACAGTTAAGTACACAGTATACAGTATTATCCAAAGTAATTGCAATGTTGAAAAAGTTGTCCCTCCTAGGTAAAGAAATTGAACAATTTGTTTCCCCTCTTTTAATAGCCTGTAGTTTGTTCTCCAATTTCATCGTGGTGTTCATGGAATGGAGGATTTGCAGCTGCAGCACAGTCGCCACCACTTCCTGCTCCAAACACAAATTCATCCCGTGGGTCAGAACACCTGCATTCTTCAACACCCTCTTCCATGCTCACCTATTTGAGATGGCTGACAGATGAAAAGCACATTTGCACAGAGTTGTCTTGCTACCCTCTCAAGCTCTTTCCTGAAGTGCATCATCATCCTGCATCTTGCTCATTGTGGGTCATGGTTTTCGTAAGGACAATGCTGCTGCAGTTTTTACTAGGAACAGTAATAGCAATCCGACCTTCTGGCCATACCAGACCAGAAACTATACTAAGCAGTTGATTCATATTATTTTACTAACCACAATCCTTCAGGTGGGTGCTCTTACTAAAACTATTTTACGAACAAGGAAAGTGAGATTTAGAGGAGTTAAGAAAGTGACTCTAGGTCACTCGCTGAAATTCAAACCCAACATGAGGTACAGTACTCTAAGAAGAACCTTGATGTGTGGGACTAGCCGATTACGTCACTAGACTCCCACATGGCCGACCGATTTGAATGCTGGACCTAGTGCCTTGAAAATCACACCCATGCATGTGTGCAATGCCCAAGATGCCAGGAGAAGAATGGAGGAGAAAGGAGCACGCTCTCGCCTGGAGGGTAATTTCTCTCTCTCTCTCTCTCTCTCTCTCTCTCTCTCTCTCTCTCTCTCTCTAGCACCCTAAGGCAAAAACCTCTCTATAAAAATTTTTTTTAAAAAACCTTGCTGTGGGGGAACCAGCAGTTAGCGTAATGGCTATGTCGCTGGACTCCCACGTAGTCGACCGCGGTTCGCATCCCGGACCCGGTGGCTTAAAACTCACGCCGGGCGCGTGGGCGTGCGTGCCCAAGATCCCGAGAGGAGAATGGAGGAGAAGGGATTGCGGCATGACCATCCCCCCTGGGGGGTGATTTCTCGCTTTCTGTCTCTATGTCTCTCTCTGTCTGTCTGGCGAGCGCACGCGCCCTACAGTGAAAATCTCTCAAAAAAAAAAAAAAAAAAAAAAAAAAAAACCTTGCTGTGGTGAGTTTAAAACAAGTCCAATGAATACGGAAGACTTAATCCTAAGTGAAGCAAGCCAGAATATGAAAGATAGATTTTATATGTACCCAATGTCTGTGCTCTACAACAGAAACTGGAAAACTGGAAGGGTAATAGTAGGGAATATACCTGTGAATAGAGATAATAGGCAGTGCACCTGTGAATGCAGAGCTAGTGGGTGATAGGGAGTAGATAATAGGTGGAGGGGGAGGAGCAGGGAAAATACATTTAATTGACACAAAAATGAAAAGTGATTTGCTGATGATAATGTATAGGATAATGTCTGTGTCTTGACTGATAGGCACTGTATTTGTGAGGAAGGAAAGAATTCAAACCCAACATGTAGTACAGTACTCTAATAAAGACCCTGATGTGTGGGAATAGCTGATGATGTAGTGGTTACGTCGCTAGACTCCCACATGTTTCGTACACTGTAAAGATGCATGGTGATTAAAAGTAAAAAATAAATAAAATAAATAAGTAAGTGATTTGTTAAATGTCCAAATATTCTCTAACCTTAGGGCTGGCTCCGTGGCACAGCAGCAATGTGCTGCTCAGGAGAAGGTAGATCCCGCATTGTGACCAGCAGTTCAAATCCCTGGCCTGGTCAGCCTGAAACATGCTGAGCACGTGCACCAGAGCCTTAAGTCCAAGGGCTGGATGACTAGAGGAAGGGGTCATGGTGAGAGTGGGGCCTGTGAAGGGTGCTTTTCTCTCTCTCTCTCATTCTCAGATGTGTACACATACTCCATCATAAATAAAGGGGGAAAATTTAAAGAAAAAGGTAGAGCATAATTCTCCAGAATTAGTGGCTCACTTCTGAGACTATGTCATAAAAAGAACAGCTTCTGCCTAGTTCTCTTTCTGTCTTGGAAGCCAGCTGTGATGTGAGGAGGACCCTAGAGACTTTGTAGAGAGGTCCACATGGAGGCTTCCCAGCTAGGGTCTCCCACTAACCACCAACAACAACTTTCCAGCCAAGGGAACCAAGCATGTCAGGGAGGCTCTCCCAGTCCTAGTGAAGCCTTCAGATGACAGACCCTAACTGACACCTGGACTGCCACCCAATGGAACCCCTAACCAGCAGGCCCAACTACATTTCTCCTGAATTCTATACTCTTAGAAACTGAGAGTAATTAAAAGTTTATTGTTGTTTTAAGATAAAGTTTTGGGGTTAGTCAGCAACAGATAACTAGCACACTTGTCTTTCAATTGATTTTCACACTAAAACTCAGGCATTGGAATGATATTCTGACTCTTATTTTTTTTTTCCCAGAGATTTTTGTTATAGGGCACATGCACTCAACAGAGAGACAGAGACACAGAAAGTGAGAAATCAGCCCCAGAGGGGATGGCTACATTGCAATCCCTTCTCCTCCATTCTCCTCTCAGAATTTTGGGCACGCATGCACATGTGCCTGGTGTGTTTCAAGCCGCCAGGTCCAGGACTCTAACTATGGTTGACTACATAAAACGACATAACCATTATGCCATCTGCTGGTCCCCATTCTCACTCATTTTTGCAAATAAGTTTTATTCATGGATAGCTCAGAGGGAACTGAAGGAAAACAAGGATCATGACGAACCAGACCCCATTTATGGGGGTTCATGTGGGTAGAGGGTGCTTTCTCTCTCTCTCTCTCTCTCTCTCTCTCTCTCTCTCTTTCTCTCTCTCTCTTTCTTTCTCTCTTTCTGATGCATGCACATATGTCCTCTGGCATTAAAAAAATACATGTGTGTGGGACCAGCAAATGGCATAATTGTTACATTGCTGGACTCCCATGTAGTCAAGAATGCATTGCAGCGTGGCCATCCCGCCTGGGGGTGATTTCTCACTTTCTGTCTCCCTGTCTCTCTGGCAAGCACATGTGTTCTATAGCAAAACCTCTCAAAAATAAATAAATAAATAAGTAAATACATGTATCAACCAGCCTTTGAGCTAGACGTGTTCATCCTCAATTATACTAAGTCTATTTTGTGTATAAAAGGGGTTTTCAAAAAGGTCGTGGGAAATGCATATTATAAAAATCACTATGCATGGATTTTTTAAGTTTTTGCAGTAAAATAAACCTATACTTTAATTCCATTTCTCACAAACCTTCTGAAGGTCCCTTGTACATAAATGTAAACTCTAGGTAGATGATAGATATCTAAAAAAAGGCATGCTCCAAAAAACTCTTTTTCAGTCCCGCTGCTGTGGAACAACCCTTGTAAGGCTGGAAGCCATATGGCCAACTGTGAGTTTCCAACCCTAGGTCCACATGAAAACATTCCAGGTGCACATGTGGGTACCCATGATCTCAGGAACTGCAGGGCTGGGTGAAGGGCATCACAGCATGATGACAGCTTGCCAAGGCTGCTTCTCTCTCTCATGCATTCACTCTCTAACACTAAAAAAAGAGAGAGGGGGAAAGAGAGAGAGAAACAAAAAGATTCTTGGTGGACAGTAAATAAGGAGTACTTAATGCTTTTTTAAAAAAGATTTTTGCCAGGAGGTATGTGCACTCACTGGAGAGAGACAGTGAGAGGAAAAATGAGAAATCACACCTCTCCTCCCCACCCCCCAGGAAGGATGGCCACCATAATCCCTCCTCCTCCTAAGATTTGGCCATGCACAAACATGTATCTGGCATGATTTTCAATTCCCCAGGTCCAGGACTCAAACCATGTTCGGCCATGTGGGAATCCAGCACCTTAAACACTCACTACCCTCTGGTCCCAGGGTTAATTCTAATCTGATCTGTTTAAAGCCATTCACTTTCTCTGAAAAATTCATTGCTTTAGGTTTTTTTTTACAACACAATTGTATTTATCCTCTTTACTTCATAAATAACACTAGTTACTAAAGATGGAGACAAATTTTTTTAAATAAAATTGAGAAATTTAAAATAATAATTTATATTAAAACTAGGTCAGTAGTTAAACTTTAAACTTATTTCTAATTAAATACCATTCTCTCATTTTAAGTTGAATTTGCTTACAAAGAAAACAAAAGAAATTTTTCTACTGTACTTTTACCAAAACAAGAGCTTTTTATTAAGCATAAATTGTGTTCTTATTTATTTTTATTTAGTGCTACTTCAATGTATCAAAGTAGAAACAATGAGTAAGTTAGATATTTTAAAACACATTTTTATATTTATCTATCTATTTATTTATTTTAAATTGCTATAGGGCACATGTGCTCACCATAGAGAAAGAGAGTGAATGAGGGAGAAAGTGAGAAAGCAAGCCACCAGGTCTGGAATTCAAACCACAGTTGGCAATGTGGGGGTCCAACATCCCAACCACCATACCACCTGCTGTTCCAATACATTTGTTTTAATGCCATCTTAAAATATTCATATTTTAGAATAAAATATTCATATTTTAAAATAAAACATTCATATTTTAGAGAATTTTCACAAATTATTTATAAACATCATAATTGTGAGTGCACTTTAAAAGTTGATTCTACTTTAATTGAAAACTCATAAAAATGAAGAACATTCTCTTTTTCCCAAGCACTAGCTAATCTGCCCATTTTAAGACTAAGTCTTTTAAAGATTCTTGCTAAAAAGGGATATACCCCTAATATAGTCTCTAGTAAAGCTTTCAATAAATAGTTGTTACATCTGCGTACAATAGAAATGGTATATTAAAGACAAATATAGGATGTTATGGGACCAGCAGGTGGCATAACAGTTATGTTGCTGGACTCACATAGTCAACTGTGGTTTGAGTCCCAGACCTGGTGGCTTAAACCTCATGCCAGACGTGTGTGCGTGCGTGCATGCCCAAGATCCAGAGAGGAGAATGGAGGAGAAGGGCTTGTGGAGTGACCGTTCCCCGTGAAGGGGTGATTTCTCGCTTTCTGTCTCTCTGTCTCTCTCTGTCTGGTGAGTGCATGCGCCCTCTAGCAAAAATCTCTCTCTCAAAAAAAAGGACAAATATAGGATGTTGGAGTAAGTATGAGGTGACTTCAAAAGTTCATGGAAAAATGGGATTAAAGAATGGCTTTATTTGGGTCCAAAAAAATTGAAATCCATGCATAGCTTTTTCAAAATACACATTTTTCATGAAAATTTTGAAGACCTCCTAGTATTTCATATGCTTAAAAGAATTATGTAGCCAAATTTCTAGCTTATGACAGCTCAGACAAGTACAATGCATACTGGTGTTATTGGAAGACATTTGCACCTCTGCCTGACCTTCTCTTTTCAGACTTTCTACACCTCCAGTGTGCAAAACCAGACTCTATGGAGGAAACCAGTTACTGTGCTTTAAACTGTGACTTCCAAACTGAAACTCCACACTCCCTTCACTGTAAGGAGATTATACAACACAGGATTCATGTTCATCTTGGCGCTGGGATACCATTTTATTACAGTGCTTATTACATAAGCACTGGGCCACCATCTAATGTTTTAGGTTATATTAATATAATTTAATGTTCTACTGTCACAAAGATTGTGGGTCCTTTCTCCACTTTTACCTGCTTATGCCTGTTTTACTCTACTTTCTACTGTTAGCAACTATATAGAGCTGAGTAATAGTATAAACAATCTATAAGAAACATAATAGATACAACATATTAAGTAGTTTTTATAAAGTATTGTTGGAGAATACAATATTCTCTAGGAATCCTTCCCCCCCCCCAAAATGAATGTGATTTCCAAATGTGCTTTAACAAGTGACCTTCAAGGAGTAGTAAGTGACCCTGGCCCATGAGGAAATGCTAAGCACGTCATCTATCTGGGTCAATGTCGTCTGTCAGGCATGTAGCCTCAAAAAAAGGGTATCAAATTGCCCCTCTTGTTGGATGCTTGAGGTCTTCTCTGTTGTACATTTCACATGGAAAGCTCCAAAACAAAGCAGGATAATAAAAATACAAACTTCCAAACCAAAGCCATGGAGAACATTTAATAATCAGGGTTTATGAGCTTCTCAACAAGATAATTATCCCCTTTCCATTTCTATAGTAGATTTTACAACATTTTCACATCTCATTTCACTCCAGGGTATCCCTATGATATAGAGATGGCATTTTATCCCCCTTTCTGGGACCAGGATTAGGATATAGTGAGTGAGGCCCTTGTCTCAGGGGCAAAATATAAGAGGGGGTACCAAAAAACTCGGTAATCAAGAAAATAGTGTTTTAATAAGATGTTTTTGAATATCAAAAAAAAAAAGATTTACATGATGAATGAAAAAAAAATCTGTTAAATAAATACAGGATCAGTATTAGTATGACTTTTCCTTTAGCCTCAGGCTCCGATATGCCAGCATAGCACTGGCATTTTCAAGGCAAGAAATGGAGGAATGGAGCGTTCATCTACCTTCTCAAGACCATAGGGCTCATTAAGGCAGAAGCAGGACCAAACCAGCCCGAGTTCTTGCTGAAGAGACTAGGCCAGTTTGAGGAAACTCTGTGCTAGGACTAGAAGAGTCTATAACTCTCTCTGAAGTACTATTATTCTTAAATAATCTGAAGGCTCAACTAAACTCAAGTCAAACAAACAAGAAATGTAAGTCAATATATAAAATGTTCATTTTTATTTAGCCCGCTGATGCAATCTAGCTCTCAAACTTTTTTAAATGGCTACTTACCGACGGAAGAACAAGTGTCTTGAAAGAACCTAAAAGGAAAATTGGGAAGAAAATAGTCTCATAATTCGAATATAACAATATGAAACTTACAAAACTCCCCTAACACTCTTTTTGATGTACACAGAATTGTAAACTTATATGCTCAAACCAGAAGAATTTTATTAATGCCCAGAACACCAGAGAAATTACTACATATCCTTGTGTCAAAGAATTAAGGTTCAGGATTAAAAGTGTATCAGTGATGAACCCAAAAGACAGTAAGTTCTTCTCTTTGCCCTTGTCATTTTTATCATTGCCACTGCTGCCTTTTTTGCTGTTTTAAGGTTTTACATGTCTGAGGGACACTTTACTCTGTGTACAGAGAGAATCTGAGGTTTATTCCTTATGTTCTCATACCCTCGTGATAAGAAAGAAAAGGAAGGCATTAGTCATGTTGGGGGTGGGCTGGGATTCATAACTGACTCAGGGTATTAGGCTAAAGCAGACGTTTTTCATATAAAATTTCTAAATGTAGGAATGCTAATTTAATTCATGCCAATTTCTCAGATTCTGTTATTTATCTCAAGAAAAAAATGAGTTCAAGTTAAAAATAGGAGTACTTATCCAAAGTTCCCATCAGAGGTGATGACAGGCCCCCCGTTCCTTTATTCATTTCAGCACTATTTATGAGGAGCACTACAAAGAACAAGACAGACATGGTCCCTCTTCTCTGGAAGCCAGATGTGTCCCCATGTGAGAGCAGAGAAGCACCAGAGCAATGCACAGTACAGAGCAGGAGTTAAGCATTAGACTCTGGGACCAGACCATGTGCATCATTTCTATCATGAGTTTGCCACATACTAGCCCTGTCCTTGAACAAGCCACCTGCTTCTCCAACTGAACTCTTTTTATCCATAAAATAAGAGTGATACTAACACCAATCTCACCAGCTGCTTGTGAGGAGTACACTGATACCCGTAAAGTATATAGAACAGCAGCTGCCACGCAGGAAACACTTGATCTAGGTTAGCCATTACAGTGTCAGAAAGTCTAAAGAGCTGCCCACTGGGGATGTCAGCATGCTTCTAAAGCAATGGTCTTTGAATCTTTATGATGGAGCACTCCAGTAATAAGCATCTGGTACACATTGTCAATGTCAAATTAGATTTATAGTTATATATGTGTCCTCTCAACCAAGATAGTAAATATTAAAAAATAATGTTTCCTGAGACCAGCAGATGGAGTAATGGTTTCATCACTGGACTCCCATATAGTCAACCATTTCGAGTCTCAGACCTGGCGGCTTAAGTCTCACGCCGGGCGTGTGTGCATGCATGCGTGCCCAAGATCCCAAGAGGAGGAGAAAGGACTATAGCATGGCCATCTCCCTTGGGGGGGTGATTTCTTGCTTTCTGCCTCTGTCTCTCTCTGTCTCTCCCGTGAACACATATGACCTACAGCAAAAATCTCTCTAAAAATGAAGAAATTAATATTTACTGTATCTAAATATTAGAACTGTGCTCAATAAAATAATAGAAATAAATGTTAGTACATTTTCTACCGTCATCCTTATAAATGGTCTTATACACGCCCAGATGTGTGCACACCTACTTGAAAGAACACTACCCCAACATGGGACTAGCAGTTAGCATCATGGCTATGTCGTTGGACTCCCAGGTAGTCGACCGCAGTTCACGTCCCGGACCCAGTGGCTTAAAACTCACGCCGGGCACGTGTGCATGCGTGCCCAAGATCCCTAGAGGAGAGTGGAGAAGGGATTGCGGCGTGGCCATCCACCCTGGGGGGTGATTTCTCGCTTTCTGTCTCTCTGTCTCTCTCTGTCTGTCTGGCGAGAGCACGTGCCCTATAGTGAAAACCTCTGGGAAAAAAAAAAAAAAGAACACTACCCCAACAGGCCTCAATGAAATATAAACATGCTTTCAGGAACAGATAAGCAACTCATCATCATCATTAGTATAGATCAAGTTAGAATAGATCCAAATTATCCAATTTTATTACCATAGAAAGCAAAAATCAAGGTTCATTTTTTAATTATTTATTTTATTTCATTATTTTTAAATTTGCTATAGGGCATGTATGCTCACTATAGAAAGACACACAGAGAGAATAAGAAAGGGAAAGTGAGAAAGTCCCACCAGGTCTGGGACTTAAACTATGGTCAATCATGTGGGAGTCCAGAGCCTTAACCACCATGCCACCTGCTGGCCCAAGACAAGGATTCTTAATAGGACATTGGATCAAAAGTGTTTTTAAAAGGGGGAAAAGAAAGAAAAATTGAACAAATATATGAGAGGTCATTAAAATTTCATGGACGAGCCAGACAGTAGTGTGATAGTTAAGGCTGCTGAATCCCACATGGCCAACCAGGTAATCTGAATCTCAGACTCAACAGCCTAAAGTAAAGGCCTGGCACATGTACATGAATGCCCAGAATCCCAAAAGGAAAAATGGAAGAAAGGGGATTGCAGCATGACCATCTCCCATGGGGGGTGCTTTCTCACTTTCACTCTCTCTCTTTATCCCTGTCTCTCTGGCAAATACATGTACCCTCTGTCAAAATTTGTTTTAAAAGTTCACATAAAATGTGCATTATGAAAAAAACTATACACAGATCTCGAAAATTTTTTGCATCAAAATAAATGCAAACTATTATATATATATATAGACACACATACATATACATATGTATTATATATATGTATTATATATGAGTGATCTTATCCTTTGTCTTAATTTTAAAATAAATGTTATTTGTTTTTGAAAAAATAAATAAGTTCACGCATTATTCCATTTTTCCAGTAACCTTCTGAAGTCCCTTGTGATTCAACATGGAAGGGCTGTAATAGAGCTAGAACAAGGAGCACATTGGAGAAATCTAGGGAGGGCACCTAGAGGAAACAATGCCAGTGTCTAATGTTAAAGAACAAAGAGACATTAGCCCAATGAGGAAGTAGAGGAAGCTTCTTTCAGAGGAGCAGCAAATGCAAAGTAGTAGAGGTCAACATGAATCCAGTAATTGGTGAGCCAAGATGGGGCAAAACTGACATTTTTCCCAGTGTTTCTATGAGTTTGAATTTTTCACACTCCACATATGGGTAAGATTAAAGAGTATAGGTTTCTCCTACTCCTGACTTATTTCACCATCATGATGTCCTCCAGGTTCATCCATGTCATCATAAAAGACAGGATTTTCTTCCTTTTTTAAGGTTAAATAGTATTCCATTGTGTATACATACTGCATTTTCTTTATCCATTCACATCTTAGGTATTGTGAAAAATGCTGCAATACACATAAGAATACAGATATCTCTTCAACATAACCTTTAGATAGATACCAATTGTGCTTTGTGAATATCTCAACTTGCAGGAAAAACTTCTGCTCATTAAACTTGTCTTTAATTGGATAGATTTATAGTTTATACTGAATTAACATGGAATTGGATAACCCTACACTATTTCAGTAACCAAAATTGGTGAGGCCTCCAAAAGAACCATACATGTCAATTTACTTGACAGTTTTTGTCTTATAAAAACATTATTTGAGAGACCAGCAGATAGAGTAACGGTTATGTCACTGGACTCTCAAGTAGTCAACCGCAGTTTGAATCCTGGACCCAGCAGTTCAAAACACACACCAGACACATGTGTGTGTGTGCCCAAAATTCCAAGAGGAGAATGGAGGAGAAGGGATTACAGCATGGCATGCTGCTTTGCAAGTAAAAGACAGGCCCCTGTGAGATATTTGAGTTAAAATCCCTAACTATTTCAATATGTGAAGAATGGAATTGAGAATATTGTCCATTTAGCAGAATTTGCTCTGAACTTAACAGGTACCCCACCACATGTCGAGAAAAAATATTTTCTCAAATTAAAAACTTTATAGTCATTATGTCACAGAATATTTTTCAATTTACTACTTTAAATGTTTAAATTAGGTGACACATTTATTTTATTATACTAATAGCTAATTAAAAACAGTTAAATATTTCTAGTAAAATATAAATACATATTATGGCCAGACAACTTGAACAGTAAATAAATACTGTGTTATAACCTGCTAAGTAAAACAAAGATCTTGGAGTTCTTACTGCTATATAATTTTTAAAATGACTAAATGAGGGAGAAGACAAGTTCTTCCTTACCCAAAAACTCCAACTAATAAAGGAGTCATAGAAATAGAAAATTTCATGACTATCTTAGTAATAATTAATCCAGGCAAGAATCTAATGCATACAAGCTGGGTGAAAAATCATGAGAAATATAAAACATTGTTTTAATCTACTAAATTTTAGGGTGCCTTGTTTCATAGCAATAGAACTGGAACACTTGAAACAAACAAGATTGACCAGCTAACCTCTGAAATTGTGAAATCCTCTATACTCACTTCCAGTCACTATGGTTATTGGGCTTCTGAAGCAAGTGCAAAATACAGCCCATATTTCTAAGACTTAGGACCAAAAAAAAAAAATGTAGGGAACAGAAGTTGGCGTAACGGCTATGTCACTGGACTCCCATGTAGTCGACCGCAGTTCAAGTCCCAGACCTGTTGGCTTAAACTCATCCCGTGCATGTGTGTGTGCATGCCCAAGATCCCAAGAGGAGAATGGAGAAGGGATTGCAGTGTGGCCATGTCCCCAGCGGGTGATTTCTCACTTTCTGTCTCTCTTTCTGATGAGTGCACATGCCCTATAGCAAAAACCTCTCCAAAAAAAAACAAAAACAAAAAAAAGAATTAATTAAATTGTAAAATATCTCTTTAATAATTTTATAGTGATTACACACATGTTGAACTGATAATATGTATAAATTATTGGGCTGAATAAAATATAGTATTAAAATCAATTTCACCTATTTCTTTTTACTTTTTAATATAGCATCTCCTAGAAAATTTTCAGTTACTTAAGTAGTCAAATTATGCTCCTCTTGAACAGCACTGACCTAGAACAGAGGTCCCCATGCCCGGGCCATTGACTGGTACTCATCTTTGGCTTATTGATCCCCTTCTTCCTCCCTCCCCCAGCAGCAGAGG